CAGCAGGATGCCTGTGTGAGTACATCATGCTCTCTAAGGGCTGCGAAGGCTTTCTTGGAGAGCTTTCTTTCTGCTCCCGTATGTAAAACGGCCGGCGAAAAGTGCTTGCGTGCATACGGCAGCCTAGGTGGGAGGGCAGGCAGACAATTAGGAAACAGTTGAGAAATTGTTACTGAAGCTTAACCGTGCGGAGATCAGATGTGGAGCGGTGCCCTCGCCTTCCGTAACCAGGAACCCTGAACAGAAGGCTTAAGGGGTTCAGAGGAAGGGGTTTTGTCGAAGCATTTGCTGGATATGGCTGCCTCGGGTGGCTGCTAACCCCAGCCATTCCCTCGCCCTGTGGATGAAGCTGTCGGGCTCCCACCGCTGTCAGGAGGACATGCAGGGTGAAATGCTGCCAGTCAGTGTTTTTTCCCAGAACTCCAGCTCCCCTTTGATGGTTGCTGGAGCAGTCGCAAGGCTCAGTAGCCCCGAGGAGTCACGTTACGTTTGCTGCCAGAACGAGTCCACGATTAACGCGCTTTACTGTTGGGAGTCTGAAATGTTAGAAACGGTGAGTCAAGTGCCTCCATCACAAGCTTGACTCAAACTTTGCAAGATGGAAAAAAAAAAAAAACCTCCAACTAACCCCAACAACCTAAAACTAGGGTTTGTTCTAGGCTTCTTGTTTCTAAACCTAGAGGGTGTGTGCGGCAAGGCTTTCAACAGAAGCACTTGTGGTGGAGGGCCAGGGACTTCTGGGAGGAGGAAAAATGTTAAATAGAAGCTGGAATACTCAGTTACTTGTTCTTCTCGAGGGACTGAAACGCTGGGGGGAAACACCTGTTGCATGCGATGGCTCCACATAACGACTCCTGGGAGCCGGTCACCTCGATGGTGTTTCCGGGGCAGTGCTTGTCCTGCAGCGCTGTCGCCAGCCTCCAGCTTGGTGCCAGCCGTGTGAGTGAGCCCAGGAAGATCCGAGGTTGTGCATAAGGGTTTGGGGGAGCTGCTTTCTCTCACCCTGAACGCTCCATTAGGAATTATCCCATCTGTTTATCTAGCTGCAGTTTCGAACGCGATGGTGCATAGCGTGATTTTTTTTCCCCTTTTAAAGAAACAAAAGGCTTTTAGTTTGTGCGAACCGGTAATTGCTGCAAGACGCTTCACGGCTTTCTCCAAACCGCCTCCCTCACCGGAGGATGCAAGGCAGCAATTTCCTCGCTCCCTGAGATGGCGGCAGCTGCCAAGCGCCCGGCGATGCCCGGGGCAGGTGAGGTGGTGGAGGGGAGGGAAGGAAAGCTGCCAGGCTTGTGAGTGGAGCCCGGCTTGCAAGCGGAGCTTGGCGCGACCCTCTGCCCCCTGCGGCTCCTGGGGAGCTGGGCCCAAAGTGCTGCTCTCGCAGCGGGGGAGGTGTTTGGGGTGACCTGCAGGAAGGGTGCCAGAGAGGGGGTCTGCTGGGCAGTGAG